TTCTACCCTCTGTGCATGCGCAGAAGAGTTTGCACACGTGCAGAAGTCGGCACGCAGAGGCCGTGTGCACTTCCGAACCGGTTGGGAAGGTAAGTAGATTTCACCCCTGCTTCAGACTGCTAAGAAAGACAATTGATGGCTATTCCCACAACCCTGTGAACATAAATAGAAGATCAACGGTGATATCTCAGCGGTGTTCCAGATCTATAACTCTCGCCAAACCCAGAAACTTGAACTCACGGCCAAAGGTATCCCCCACTTTCCAGGCCAGGGCTTTAGGGATCTCCAAAACAGATCCTTACCTGGTCACGTTTAAAGAGACAGGAGGGGGAAATGACGAAAGAGAGACTAGAGCAAACTCTCCTGAAGGTTAAATCAACTGCTAGTGAAATGGATTTTAGTTTTTAGCCTAGCTTCTGACCTCTCTGGGGCCTCCCCAGGAGTGGCTTGTCTTCTTCCTTTGCCCTGGGGAAATCTGGGGAGGGGGTGGGAGCAAAGCCCCCTCCTAAAGTGCCACCATCACCTGAGAAGGCTTCCAACAACTGTCCTCTGGCGTTGATGGATTTGACACCTGTTCCTTGTTAGTTCTGGGGTGGGGTGAAAAATTGGGAGCCGGAGCTTCCTGCATCTCCCCCCTCCCCCTGAAAAAATAAAATAAAAACTAAAAAAACCATCAGCTCTGATCTCTTCTTTTGGCTTTAGCACGAAAGAGAAGCCTGGGAACACAAAGACACACATTCCCTAGGGTTGTGACAGCCATGCCAGGCCCTCTGCAGCTGTGGCTTCCTTCCCTCCCTCCCTCTTCTCCTCTCCGGCTCTGTGTCTCTTTGTTCTCCGAGCTGAGCTGAACTCGCCAGACTGAGCCAGCTGCAAAGAATTTAGATTTACACGATCCAGGGATTTGAGGCTCCTCTTTCCACCCTTCCCTGCTGCCCTCGTTCCGGACCATTCTGCCATTTTCCTGCCTCGCGTGTTTTCCTATTGGTCCATTGCTTTGTGCGTTGCAACCTTTGCCATGGGAAGGAATTCGACGCGCGGGGAGTGATCTGTTCATCAGCCGAGCCACCTTTGCGGCAACTCTAAGGCTGAAAGAGGGCAGCCAAAGAGGGGGATGGAAACAGGGAGAACAGAAATAAATGGGCAGCAACACAGGTGAAACCGAGATGGCTGGTCTGAGGGGATGTTTCAGCTTTTAGAACAATGATGGTCTGTGGAAAAGGCCTTGAGAGATAGGAGGAAGAGATGGTGGCTAGGACATGGTGAGATAAGAGACTACATAGCCCTCAGCTGCGTAATGGGTTTTAGGATCAATATATAAGATCCTAGAACTATAATGGTATGTGGGAAAAGCCTTGGGAGACAGAGGGAAGAGATGATAGCTCTTCCCTCTGGTCAGATAAGAGACTGAATAGCCTTCAGCTGCATAATGGGTTCTAGGATCAATGGACTTAATCCTAGAACTATAATGATATATGAAAAAGGACAGGGGGAAGAGATGGTGGCTAGAGAATGGTAAAATAAAAGACCACATAGTCCTCAGCCATATAATGGGTTCTAGGATCAATAGATTGGATGGTATGTGGGAAAGGCATTGGGAGACAGAGGGAAGAGATGGTAGCTATGGAGTGGTCAGATAAGAGACTGAACAGCCCTCAGCTGCATAATGGTTAAGACAGAAGACTCAAAAGCAACTCTCCCTACTTGTTCAGGGTATAAAGGAGGTGGGAGAATTGAATCTTCAGGCTTCCAAGATCTGTAGCTTCACAATAAAGCAGAATTCACTCACATGGTCATGGTAAGACTGGTAATAACATAGCTTGGATATTAAAGCTTTCTAGTTGAACATTTTTCCTTCCCTTAAATGCAATTCCAAAAAGAGCCCGAATGCTCCAGTAGGCATCTGGAAGGCTTACCTTCTGTTGCTCAAGAGACCTACTGAGAAGTGTCCTCTGTAGCGAGAACTTTGTTCTCCATCGATCCTTCCTGAATCAGCTTGGATTAGTTCACCACATATTCAACTGTGTTGACTTTAGACCATGTTGTCTCTTAGGCCTTCCTTCAAAACCCCCCCAAAAAACATAAGAAACCCCCCTAATTTGCCCAATTTGTGGAATTTCACTTAGGCCACCACCATTTTAAGGGGATCCTCTGGGAAAATTTTTCCGGCAGATCTCAGAAGCCATAAGATAAAGGTAAAGGTTTCCTTCGGACATATGTGCTAGTCATTCCTGACTCTAGGGGGCGGTGCTCATCTCCATTTCAAAGCCGAAGAGCCAGCGCTGTCTGAAGACGTCTCCGTGGTCACGTGGCCGGCATGACTCAACGCCAAAGGCACACAGAACGCTGTTACCTTCCCAGCAAAGATGGTCCCTATTTTTCTACTTGCATTTTTTAGGTGCTTTCAAACTGCTAGGTTGGCAGAAGCTGGGACAAGTAACGGGAGCTCACCCCCTTACGCGGCACTAGGGATTTGAACTGCTGAACTGCCGATCTTTCGATTGACAAGCTCAGCATCTGAGTCACTGAGCCACCGTTTCCCTTTCAGGAGCCGTAGGAGGATCCAATTAATTAGAGGGGTTTCCCAATTTGCAATGGCTTTCAGGAGCGAATGGGTTGAAATAGCTGGGAAATATGTTTTTAAATGCTTTTCCTCCTAGACGGTGACTCAGGCCACTGGTGAATGGAGACATTTTTTTTCACAGAAGTGAATGGCATTTTAATAAGATGAATGGTCTCTCAGTGATTGTTTGCATTGGGGCTGAGCCAAAAAAATCCTCTATTTTACCCTCTCCACCTGCGCTTGTTCAATCTGATGAAAGAAAATTTGCTTTTGGAAAGTTCTTTCGATTGAAAGGCAATTATTCCGGGTGAAGGCAGGCGGGCGTCCTCACACTCACCGAATGATGGTCTTGGCCAAGGGGTACACACACACAGGTCAATTTTGCATCATTTTGCAACTGAATCTACATCTCTCTGGCTGTGGAGCTGGCAGCAGTCAGACAGTGAGGAAGTTGGGGAAGAACATGGGCCAGTCCTGGAGGCTGGGGAAGGCCCAGACAAGGGCTCTGTGTCAGAGGCAGAGATGGAGCCAGGGCCATCTGGGAGCGATGCACGGACTCCGGAACCTCCAGAGGCAGATAGCAGAGAGGCAGAGGAACAGGAGGAGCCTGTTCCTAATGCACGCATGCGAAGAGCTGCCAGAAGGCAAGAGCAGCTAAAGCAAAAAGGACAACTCAGGAGTAAGGCCAGGAGATGATTGGCCCCTCCCATAAGGCTTAAAAGAGCAGCAACGGCTCTTGGGATCTTTGTAGGAAAGCAACGTTGCTACATTTGTTTCTTGTTGGTGTCTCTTGCTTCTGAACTTTTGCCAAGAAAAGCCTTTGGCAGGGTGCCAAAGAAGACAAAGGTTGGTGATAAGGCTGAAGGACTGTTTACGAAGAATTTGTTTTGGAATTAATTTGGACTAAGCTGAGAATGAAGTAATTCTCAGCTGTTCTCATAAAATATGTTTAAGACTGATTGTGTCTGGTAACAACTACTTGGGCCTAGGTGACAATACTTGCTGTCCTGGTTTCCTTTAAGATCGCAGTGGGAGAGTTGGCTAATTTAAATCATAACGAGAACTATCCGAAGGAATGCCTAGAAGGCAAAAAGTCCATCTTCTGCCACTTCCAACCATGAAGCTTGGAAACCCCCCAAACCTTCCCACAGAGAAGTTCCCAACCCCACAGAGATTTTCCTAAACCTAGACTGAATTTAATCTGGAAAAAAAAAAACACCAAAGGAATTGTAGATGTGGTCCCTTCTTAAACATATCTGGAGAAACACAGAGCAGGGAAGATCGCTGAAGAGTAACACAACTCAAGCAAATGATGCCCAAGCCTAGAAACATTTAGAAGTGACAGATGAGCTTGGGCGTGCATCCCCATGTGCGTGAGCAATGGATGAGCGTGTGAAGCTGTATGTGCACACGTGTGTGCAGCTCACGTGGGACCATACCCTCCCCTCCCCCGGCCGCTCCAGAAAGCTGGAAATGTTGGGGAACTTTGCTGTATACAGTGGTGGCCAGAATTGTGGAAACCTTTTGGGAAAAGTGTATTAGCTAAAACTAGCTCATAACACCACTTTTTTTTTTTTTTTGGAGTAGTACCATTAAATTATATATCGATGGAAAGGTAATTTAATCAAGAATGTCATGCAATAACTTTTAGGAAGGATTTGCTATTAGAATAGCAGTTACAGTATAAAGAAGAAAAGTGAAACACGTAGAAAAAAACCGAGATATACAAAAATGATCCCCATAGAAAAAACGAGATATACAAAAATGATCCCCATGTCAGTTAATCCTTAGTTGGGTAACCTTTAGCATGAATGACGGCCTTACAACGTCTTCCCATGGAGTGAACCAAGTCTTTGAGTTCTGCAGCTGTTCTAATGTGAAACCAAGATGGAAGGATGGCTTCTGTTAACTGGGTTTTATTGCTGGGTCGCTTCTGACTAACCAGTTTCTTTAGTCGGCTCCATAGATTTTTAATTGGATTAAGGTCTGGGCTATTCCCAGGCCAGTGGAATAGGATTATCCTGACACTCCCCCCCAAAAAAAAAGTGATGTTATTAGCCATCAAATCTCAAAAATACACTTTCCCCAAAAGGTTTCCATAATTTTGGCCACTACTACAGGATGCTTCGCCTTCATATAAGGACTGATTGCAAGTCAACTTTTTTTTAAAGTGTTGTTGTAATTTCACAAGGTTGCTAAGTGAATGGTTATAAGCTAAGGATTTCCTACACAGGCCCGGTTTGGTTTACTGCAAGCTACTGACAAAAGAGAAGTGATTGCAAAACCATTCCTTCCTCGATTCGTATTCCTTGGTTCGTATACCATCCAGCATGGATTCCCTTCATCCGACATACAAAATCTGACGAGAAGCAACTTCTAAATTCGCTTCCAAATCAAAAAAAAAAAAAAAAAAGAAGAGAGAAGGCCGTTAACAGCTTCCTTGTTTTAAAATTCTTTTATTTATAAAAAAGTACACTTCTTTCAACGGTCGAATGACTAGTCTCTCTCTCTCTCTTTCTTTTTAAAATTTTTTTCATTTTGTACAAGTAAAAGACGATGAAGCGGAATGCTGCTCCCCACGAAAATTCCCTCTGTTTTCCCCGAAACAAAACAAAACAAAACAAACGAAAGAAAAATTAAACAAAGGAACCGAAGAAATTATTACAAAGAATGGGGGGGGGGGAATTAAAAATAAAACCGAGAAATGAAAGCAAAAGTTCAGTTTATTACACTATCTATAATATTCGTTGTCCTCTCCACATATTTTTTTTATTTTTACAAAAAAAAAAAAAAAAAGCACTTACAACACAGAAAACACAACTTCCCTCCCAACGGACATTTTTATTTCTCTTATGCCACAAGGTTGATTATAGCAGGAATGTGGTGAATGAGAACACGGAGGTTAAAATGAGAAGCGCCTTGTTTCTCAACTTGGGCAGCCTTGAAGAGGTGTGGACTTCAAGTCCCAGAATTCTCTAGCCAGGCCTGGAGAATTCTGGGAGTTGAAGTCCAACACCTCTTAAAATTACCTCAGTTGAGAAACAACGCTATAGAGAGACTCATTTGAGTGAAGGGAATACATTGGAATGTAGAAAAGAAATCAAAATAACAATGCAGTTTATTTCTCTGTTGGCATATATTGGTACTGCCTGAATATCTCATCATAGAAAAATGCTATATACACATTTCCTTGCAAGGGGAGGCCATACAGCTAGTCCTCAACTTAACAACCATACAACTAGCCCTCAACTTATAATTGTGACCAGAATTTCCATTGCTAAGCAAGGCACTTGTTAAATGAGTCACTGCGATGGTTTAAGCGATTAACATGGTCGTTAAGCGAATCAGGCTCCCCCCCATTGACTTTGCTTGTCAGAAGGTCGCAAAAGGAGATTGTGTGACCCCCCCTGGGACATTGCAACCATTGTAAATACAAGTCAGTTTGACAAGCCTCTCCGTTTTGATCACAGGACCATGGGGATTGCTGTCACTTTTTAAAGTCTCGCCGTAACTTTGAATGAATGGTTCTTAAATTGAGGACTACCTGTAGGGAGGTTTTGCTTGCCATTGTGGCCTTGCATTTTTGGTTCATTAATCCGGAACGAGGATCAAACCGTAGTCTATTCTTCCTGTGCATAAAAACCAACCCCCAATATATATATTCGGATTAATTAGCAGTCCAAATCTCAATTTTTATGGTGGGTTTCATTTTCTCCTAAGGAGAATTCTAGCTAAATTCTCATGTTGTTGTTGTTTTTTAAAAAATAAACTGCTGGAATAAAACAAGGAAACAATTCTGAAAAAACGACAGGAAAGGCAACTGATCTCATCATGAAATACAGTAACGGAAATCAAATGGCTGGGATGGGTGAAGCCCAGATATACATTCTTTCTTCAAACATCTGCCTGCAATACAGAAGTTGAGAACCATTGGAAACCTCAGCAATGTTGGGTCCGGATTATAATCCAGAAAGAAATCGGACGTTGCATTTTAATCCATTCCAAGGTTGAGATTGCACTGTCCGCCTTCCTCAACGAGAACAGCATCTCTCCGTGTTCAATAAATGTAGATTATTGATCTGGAGATGACGAAGAGCCTTTGTCCTTAAATAGAACCTCCATATCAAGACGTTGTATACCCTGGCTGGGACCTGAACTTTCTCCCACTGATGACAATCCAGAGGGAAGATGGCGGCCTTCAGTGAACCAATGTGTAGTTTGGGGGCATCGTCCATCGATGGAATCAACGTGCGACATCTGACAGGACGATGAACCCAACCGGTTGCCATTTTCTTACACTCTCACCCAGTGGCACAATTTTTTTTTTTCATGAAAACTTTGACAACACCTCCTCTCTTACAGCTACAGACCGAGAACGGTCTAAGAACAAAACAGCAAAGGTGACATTTGGTCATCTTCTTGATAGACATATTTCTTGTCTCACCTCGTCAGATTTGGCAGCTATTTTTCAAAAGCACGCCCCGAGTTTTCACCCATCTAAGAGTCTGAGTCATGTACAAGGAAGGATTAAGGCTGAAATGATCATGCATCCCTGACCCCAGAAAAATAGGGTCACTTTGATATCTAAAAATATCTGCATGGAGGGTCCTCAGGACTAGGTACAGCTCCCCAAGGCGGACAAGGAAATCCAAGGTCAAGATAACCTAAAAATTCAAGAGCTCCGTAGGTATCTAGAGAGACTGATCGGCAAGGACGTTTGATCCATCTTGTTAGCAGGAAGGGAAGGAAGCCCATCAGAACAAGGATAATTCCTATTTATTTATTTGTTCATCACATTTCTACCCTGACCGTCTCACCTAAGTTACCCTTCTGAGGGGCTAAGAGATGAGAGAGAGGCTGATGGAAAGAGGACTGCTGGTTCAAAGAGAAGGGAATTCATCTAGATCATTCCTCAGAAGGTCCAAACGTACTTGTGGTGGCATCTCCAGCTAGACTGGAAGGAGGTGTTAAGAGGGGGCTGAGCTTGGAATCTTTGCAGTGAAGAAAGTGGCACAGGACTGACTTCTCCCAGAATTCCTGAAGCCCTATCTGACCGTTTCCAAGAGAAGGTGGTCAGTCTGGAGTGAATCAGTGTTCCAATATCTGACGGACTGCCCCAAAGAACAGGAGGTCCATCTATTCTCCGAAGCACCTGAGGGCAGGACAAGAAGCAACGGGTGGAAATTAATCAAGGAGAGAAGCAACCTAGAACTAAGGAGAAAGTTCCTGACAGTGAGAACAATCGACCAGTGGAACAACGTGCTTCCAGACGTTCTGGGTGCTTCAACACTGGAGGTTTTCAAGAAGAGATTGGACAGCCATTTGTCTGAAGTGGTGTAGGGTCTCCTGCTTCAGCAGGGGGTTGGACTAGATTAGAAGACATCTAAAGACCCTTCCAGCCGTAGGATCCTATGATTCTATTCTCCCAAACACTTGAGGGCCGGACAAGAACTAACTGGTAGAAGATCATTAAAGAGAGAAGCAACCTAGAACTAAGGAGAAAGTTCCTGACTGTGAGAACAATTCATCTGTGGAACAACTTGCCTCCAGAAGTGCTCCAACATTAGAGGTTTTTAAAGAAGAGCCTGGGCAACCATTTGTCTGAAATGTCACAGTTTTTCCTGCTTGAGCAGAGGGTTGGACTAGAAGATCTCCAAGGCCCCTTCCAACTCTGTTATTCCTGTAACATATGTGACTAACAATAAAGCTACTGTTTGAGACTATTCATGGGTAGCTCTGGCTGCTTGCATTCTATAGTTTTTCAGGGAGCAAAAGGCAGGATTGTAAAGGCAAACTTACAGCTGAAACAGAATTGCTACCTCAATGGGGCTACCTTAGAGCCCATCCACCTGTGTCATCTTCCAAAACCTTGGACTATAACTCCCGGGTGCCAAAAATAGCTATCCATCTGAGGATAGAGGAAGTGTGGTTTTCCAATCAACTCATCCTTCAAGCTTTTGAAAACATGGGTCCTAGTCCCACCAATCAGAAGTCTCCCAAAAAATGTAAATACGTTACCGTACCAAATCTTCAAGGGGATAGGATTAAGCTGTGCTCAGGGGAAGCTAAACAAATCTCTTCTTCGGGGGAATCCGAGTAAATGAGAAGGACCAGATGTTGGCAACATGTGGAGATTTAAGAGATCTGGACACGAAAGCAGAAATCCTTACAGAGCAAGTAGGAATGTTGTGTTTTTTACTCAATGAGCTACAACCTATAGTTTCGGTACACTGTGCATCACAAACAGGAGTCTCAGATGTGCAGATTGCACCTAGAGTAGCCACCTATGTTTTGATCACCTCGGATCCTGAGCAGATCAAAACTTTGATCCAGGTTCCTCCATTATTATTAGTAGTAGTATTATTATTATTATTTCTTAATTGCAGGCATTTTATTTCATGCTAGTGACCCAGACGGTCCTGCGGAAAGGAGCCAGTCCTGTTCCTGTGCTTAAGATTTTAGAACGGACGGTTGATAAGGGACTACTGAAGGGTTGAAAAGAAAGAAGGAATTAAACAGAGAAGGAGCCTTGCTTAAGCTGCAGAAATGCCAGCTCACCTGGCTAAGATCATCATGCATTTTGTTGGAAGTAAATCTTGCTATGGGAAAGTTGGCATCATCCAGACGGGAGAATGGGAGGCTTCTATGAAGACCACACTGTGCTTTATTTTGCAGGCAGGTAATGCAATTCTCTCTGGGTGTGTATCTGTGCGCAGGTACACTTGCTCGCTTGACACCAAGGGTTCTGTCCCCCTTCCCCACACAGGCAAACACACAACCAGGCATGCCTGCCAAGTTTTTAATTAAGCAATCAGACTAGAAACCCTTGCAGATAAGAGTTTTGGCAGTAAACTGCGTAATGCCTGCCAAGTCAGTTTTCACTCACAGTAAGCAAGAGAGCATTTATCCTCAGTCTGGTCCAGTAGCAAAAAGTAATCCACGAAGCAAGAGTTAGCCAAGGTCCAATCCAAATATGTACACGCCAGATTCCAGGTAATGCGATGTCACTCTCAGGTTTTTAACTTTGACCGTCACAAAGTCTGAAGAGCAATCACACCCACTTTTATTCCTTGTGGGGTGTGGCTCTGTGACTCAGCTCAATCTCTGGCCCTCCCACACCTCTTTCGTTGCTGCGCACGCTTCTCCCTCCGACGCTGCCTGGGATCAAGCCAGGATTCATCATCCTCGCTCCCTATCTGTTGTTGTTCCGATATGCTTTCCTCCTGGCACATCCCAGGCTGTTCCTCCTGGCCTTCGGATGGAACCTGAGGCATTGCCAGAGAGGAGGGTCCTGGAGAGGGAGGCCTTATCAGTTCCTCCCCATCACCTTCTGAGTCCTCTTCCTCTGTTAGGACAGGCTCGGGAGTCGGGGTCACAACACCAAGGGATGCTAATGTTGCCGAGTCTACAAATTTAAAAACGAGCATAAAAGAGAAAATTTGTAGCTCGGGGTTGAGCTGTGTAGTCCTTGGTGTTCTCTGAGCTTGACTGTTTACTTGCAGGCATTACATTACCCAACTAGGTAACATCATCAGTGTTATAAAGGGGTGTGTGTGTTTGCTCTCCCCACTCCCTTCTAGCACTGATGATAATACCTAGTTGGGTAATGAAACGTCTGCCAGAAAACAACCCAGTTCAGAGAGCACAAAAGGACCCCACAAACACGACTGAACTGGTGTTTAATGTTGGCTTGGTGGAACTGCTGAATGTTGGCGCATTGGTGCGCTCCGTCATGCTCTGTTTGAGCTACTCATGCAATTGTGAAGCACGGTGGGTCTCCCCTGCTCTTGTCTTTTACAACGGCAGCTACTCCTACACGCAAGCAGAAGCATCAGGACAGATGATGTTTTGTTAAGAGTTGCACATGGCTGGCAGATTGAAAGAAATCAAAACAAAACAGTGCCAACATAAAATTAGACACCGTAATTATTTCTTAGAAAAAAAAAACCCCACTCCATCAGCCTTAAATGTTTTAACATTTCAAAACATTAAGAAAGATGTACTAATTGAAAGGAATTTTAAGGAACTGTTTCTCTTGTAATCTGTTGGCTGAGCAACTCAAAAGTTTTATTTAAAGGTAGCGAAGACAGCCTATGAATTATTTCTCTCTCTCCTCTCTCTCTCTCTCTCTGCTCCCTTTCTTTCTTTCTCTCTCTCTTTCCCTCCTTCCCTCTCCCTCACCCCCGTTGGGGAAGGGTGGGCCATTGTTGATAACAGATGCTAATCCCAACAGTTGTTTCATTTGGTAAAAGCAAAGCCTTGTTTCCATTTATTTCTCCCCTATGGGATTTATCTGAAAGCTTCCAATGAAGTTTTAAAAATCATGCCCTTCGCCAATTTTTCTACAACTGGGGTAGCCGATAGCATTCTGCATTTGGGCCTCTCGCCCACTTATTTTTTGTGATCCTGGAATGAAAAACAAAAGGAGCAGCAGCTGTGGCTGTTTCTAATGGTCAGCCACATAAAATAGCTCACGTTTTGCTCCAACAGAACATTTAAAAAAATAAAATAAAAATTAGTTGTGATGGAACATTCAAGCCATTTCAAATTTGGTTCCTCCCCAAAAAAACAAAAAACAAAAAAAACCCCATACAGGCCAACTTAAAGTGTTCCAACAGAGCAGTTAGGATTTCAGCTCCAAATAAAAATACATTTTTTCCTAGCTTCACACAGGTCTCTCTTTGCTTGCCACTTGAGGCTATTTAATTGGAAGAGCTAGTGACTGGATTGGGAGCCTCCAGTATGCGCACAATAGCTGGTCTTCAGCCTGTTAAGCTTCACCGGGCTCCCAACATTAAACACCGAGACTTGATGAAGGAGAACAAGCAACTTCTCGCTAGTCTGTTTACTAATCGACAGTTCCAGGAATGAGAAACTGGTAGGAATGGACTCAGGCAAGTGAATCTAAGAAGGTCCCCATCGACAAAGATGTCGGATCCAGGAGCAAACGAAGGGGGGAAAAAATAATAATAATGTGGCATGCAAATCCTTGACAGACCCTGAACCTCTCTCTTAAAATCATAATTAAGAACGAAACAATAACAACAACAACAACAAAAAAAAAAGAGAGAGACCCACACTTATTACACTTCTCCTCCCTGGATATCATGCACTCATTTGTTTGTTTTTTTCTTTCTTCCTTTCCCCAAAGGTTCTTCTGAAGATGAAGTCGAGTCTGGGTTTTTTGTTTTGTTTTTGGTGGCCACGGATAAAGGCAGGTGATTGTTCTCTTCCCACCACAAGTGCATTGTGGGAAATGGCCGCAGCGAAGATGCTGAAAGGAAGATACAGGCCCCCAGAGATCCAGGGTAGTCGGAAAGGAGCAAAAGCTCTCAGCCCCGATTCTGTGTTTTTGTGCTTTCGGTGTCTGCAGCCTCCAAGCCCCACCTTGCCTTCCAAAGTCCATGGCGGGTGGGGGGGATGTATGCCCCTGGCCCCCTCCCTTCCCCAAAGTTAAGACAATCAACAAATTCCAGTGTTTTTGAAGGGAGGTGGGAGGGTGAGAGGAGCCTAGAAGGCTGACCAAGAAGACACTTTTTAAGTTGCAACCAGGAGGTGTAGATGGGGTGGGATCGGTATACTATACAAAGACAGGCAATAATAATTAAAGTATTAACATCAAAGCCACCACTGATCAGTACAAACGACACAGTAAGGGACCAATCTCTGTCGGAGAAAATTAAGCAGGGGAAAAGAAACATTGCGGTCCTCTCCCCAAGGAAAAAAATAAATTCATTAAGCCAAGCAACATCCCTCCCGTCCCCCACAACTCCCCTGCTTTGCCTCCTCCGGGGTGCCCCCAAAGTAGTGGAAGTTCTCGTTGGCTTCCCAAGTGTCCCTGTACTGCGTCCCACTTCCCCAGCGGATGGAGGTCTCTGGATGTGCGTGGGTTGGGTGGGCAGGGGGCTCTGGACGTGTGACAAGGCACACGGGGGCTCTGCGGAGTAGCCAGCAGCCCTGGGGCACGGAGGCAAGACGTGGTCGGCGAAGAGAGGGCAAGAAAGGGGAGGAGGTGGACTAAGCTACACATACCACTCTTTTTTGGAAATAAAAGACCCGTCATTCTGAGAGACCATGTTATCAGCTATGTCCAGTTGCTCGGGGTCATACTGGAATCCAAGTGTCCGTTCGTTGTAGGCTTCAGAGCGGGCTTCGCCCTCGTCCACCGTGAAGTAAGGCCGCTTGGAGTCCTCCTCGTACTTGTTGGGACAGGACCGGTGTTTCCGTTCCACCCCTGCGCCATCGTCATCTTCGTCCTCGTAGCTGTTGCTGCCCAGCGGGCCGGGTTTTTTCTCGTCGTCCGAATCGTCAGGATATTGAAGATTCTGGGCCATGGGTGGGTGATGCTGAGGGACGCCCGCCTTGCTGTACCCGTTGCCGTAGACGTGCTTCTTGGTGCTGTAGTCGCCCTTGAAAGTGTGTCGCCGGTGACGGAGCACCATAAGGACGACCACGGCCACCACTACGACCAACGAGGCTCCGCCCACCACGCCCCCAATCACGGCGGTGGGGATGGTTGGATGCGCCACGGATGTGCCCGGTGGAGACGGGGTGTAGGGGAATTCTGGGTAGGAAAAGACAGATGGAAGGGGGAACAAGCATCAGTCTGTGAGGAATGGCAAACACATGCTTTCAGACTTAAAAATAATAATAATAATTTCAAAAAATCGGGGGAGATGAGGAGAAGGAAAAGGGGAGGGAAAGCCAGGGAAGGGGGCAGGAAGTGCCTACCTATGGAAGCCCTGATCGGGCTCTTGGTACTCAGCTTTTGTGGTCAGAGAAAGCTTGGCTTGCCACACAGCCCTTTGTGGAAGTGCGGATAACTCTCAACCAAGGCACTCCATCAGCATTGCATATAATTACCTTACATCAAATCATATTTCGTCCCCATTTCAGCCAGCGCCCCACACTGGGGTCCACAAGTGCACATGTGCGTCCCCTTGGCAGACCTTCAGAAACTCATGATGTCCGATAGGCTCGCACTACTGACCCACACAGAGTCCGAGCTAACTACTTTGTTATGTTCTGCCTATAATACAGGAATCTTCCCAGTCATGCTGCCTACTCTTGGGAGCAAATAAAACCTGCAAGGAACTTGGAGAGGGAGGTCGGCCCTAGCTCTTCTGTGGTTGTGCAGTGACTCCAGGCTAGCTCTGCGCTTGATCCTTCCTCCCAGCCAGGCTGACTGCTTCCTGACAGTGTCCAACTCTTGCAATGAATTCCCTCTCTGCGCCCTCTTGCAAATACCAACGTAAGATTCTTCCTGGATCTACTTGCCAAATATTTAGTCAATCCCCGAGATGGTTTCCTGTTCGTAAGGATTAATTCCTCATGAGGATCAGATCTCACGTGGTTCGTTCGTTTGCATGAGGGGTATTAAGAACTGACAGGCACCCAGATCAAGAAAGGCACCAATGAGATTGGACAAAGAGGTAGGAGGCCATGCTTGTTACACAGGCTAAACAATGGCACAGATGTCGCCTCTTTTGACTGGGGCTGCACTGACTGCCAGTCTTCTTCTGGGTCCAATCCAAGGTGCTGGTTATCACCTTTAAAGCCCTACATGGCTTGGGGCCAGGTTATTTGAAGGACGGCTTTCCTCCTATTACTGTACATCCCCCTGACCCACTTGGATGGGAAGGGAGGCCAGTCCCATCTATTAGGGTGAACTTCTGGTGGGACCATGAAAAATGACCTTCTTGGTGTGATAAGAATTGAAAGAGAGAGAGAGAGACACACACAGAGAGAGATAGACAGACAGACAGAGGGAGAGAGACAGACAGACACAGAGAGAGAGAGACAAAAAAGACACACAGAGAGACAGACAAACACACACAGAGAGAGACACACACACACACATACAGAGACAGAGAGTCACAGAGAGACACAGAGAGAGAGTGAAAGAGAGAGACAGAGAGAGACAGACAGACACACAGACACAGACAGAGAGAGAGAGACAGAGACAGAGAGACACAGAGAGAGAGACACACAGAGAGAAATAGAGAAATAGAGAGAGAAACAGAGAGAGAGAGACAGAGAGAGAGAAAGAGACAGACAGACACAGGGAGAGAGACAGACAGACACACAGAGAGAGACAAAAAAGACACACAGAGAGAGACAGACAAACACACAGAGACACACAGAGAGAGAGAGACAGAGTCACAGAGAGACAGAGACAGAGAGTGAAAGAGAGAGACAGAGAGAGACAGACACACACACACACACAGACAGAGAGAGAGACAGACAGAGAGACACAGAGAGAGACACACAGAGAGAAATAGAGAAATAGAGAGAAACAGAGAGAGAGACAGAGAGAGACAAAAAAGACACACACAGAGAGAGAGACAGAGAGAGAGAAAGAGAGAGACACACACAGAGAGAGAGAAATAGAGAGAGAAACAGAGAGAGAGAGAGAGAAACAGAGAAAGAAACAGAGAGACAGAGAGAGATCTGTCCCAAGCCTTTTCCTCTGCCTTTTCTAGTTAGCAGACCCCTGGCCTTTCTTTTCCCACCCCTGAGTGTCAGATTGACATAACGACACTGCCTGGCTGGGGAATTGTGTGTTCCTGCTTGTCTACTGGAACTTTTCCACCACATGATATGGAAAAGGAGGAGACTCTGCGGAGGAGCTGAAAGATATGAACAGAAAACCCCGAAGGCTTGGCTTATCTCTCTGCCTCTGGCCTGAGCCTGTGTTACTTAAAAGTGGGGCTGAGTTTCTGGGAAGCCAAGACTGGTCCCCATGTCTGATGTGACACCATGTCCATCCTCTCTCCAAGAACCGAATCACACAAATCACACGCAAGAGAAAGCACCGGCTTGTCTTCCCAAAATAAAAAATAAAAAAAGTGAGCCGTTTCGCGCAAAGGGAACGGGCCCATTGAGTGCTGCCATAAAGTGCTAACCCTCTTTGTGAATTATTCCAAGCAAAATATAGAAGTGAGAAAAGGTGGCGTGGAAAGCGTGCGTGCAAAGACACCAGCTCTGTTCCGACTCCCATGCATTAAGTAAAACATTTGCACAAGGAAAAGAGTAAAACGGCAGCTGTTGTATTGGGGAAGGGTGAAGCCAACGCATCAGGGTCAAACACTACTAAGTTGGATCCCATTTGATGTATAATCTAAACAAAATCAAAAGGAAACAGTACTAAATATGCTCCGTTTAACAGACGCTGATTTAGCGGACTTTGGATTTAGCGGACTTTGGATTTAGCGGACTTTGGATTTAGCGGACTTTTTTTTTTTTTGCTTCTGATTCTGTTTGCTACATTACAGATCTGTCCTTTAAATCAAGATTTCCTTATGGATTTAACAGACACTCTTCTCTCCGTAAAGGTTTATTACATGAAGGTTTCACTGTACAGTCAACATGATTACTTCCAGTTCTATATTTGGTGATTTCCTCCTGCTATGATTTTAGGCTTGTAATTACTTGCCCTTTTGGGCATACTGGATAACACCAAATACTGACCAAAGACCCTGACCATCATGTCTGTCTGATACACACCATGCTCTCCAATTCCCCACATGTGGATCTGGACTTCTCCTTCTAGGCCAGGAGTTTCAAACTCACAATGACACGTGTGTCGTCACGTGACGTATCACAACTTTCCCTTCCCCTTCGCTAAACTGGGGATGGACCTGGTCATCATGTGACGCATCTGCCCTGCGGGCCGTGAGTTTGACACCCCTGTTCTAGGCCAAAGGCCCTCTTCCCTCCCACCACCCTTTGACGTTTCACTCTGACACAGAGGACAGGACAAAGGTTCTGCAGAAACAGAGGCTGGATGGATTTTTCCACAAGGAACATGCTACAAAAAAAAAAAGGGGAAGGGATTTTCCTCTGCTACCCCCCACCCCCAGTTTGCACTCCCAGTTAAGGGCGATGAGTAGGAGGCAACACCTTGATAAGGCAAGCACATGTCAGCCCAACCCCGAGGTGAGCAAAGACATGTGTGAAGTGTGCTAGACGGAGGTTTTTCGAGGTCAGAACATCCTGAGGGGCGGAGGGGGAGAAAAAAATGTCTTGGTCCCAATTGTCTTCCTCTTTCACCCTTCTCCTTATCCTCAATTCAGTATCGAAAGGGATTCTTTTCACACAACCCTGGTGAGACTTGGTTGCCATGACATTTGAAGACAGTCTTCTGCCCCATGGGACTGCCTGCCCATCCGCATCCATTTTCTCTCTTAGAAAGGCTATTCCTTCCACCAGCCCATCCCTTCCATGGTTAGACCAACCTTGGGCTTCCAAAGCCCACTAGAACCCAATTCTGGACACTGCCAGGAATGCTATTCTCAACACAACTCAGTACGGGCAACTGATTTCACAGATGCCAGCAAAGTCCATGGGTTAATAGATGCTAAGAATCTCTTCTGGTTCATCTAGAACAGGGGTCTCCAACCTTGGCAACTTGAAGACTTGTGGACTTCAACTCCAGAACTCTGGGAGGAATTCCTGGGAGTTGATGTCCACAAGTCTTAAAGTTGCCAAGGTTGGAGACCCCTGATTTAGAAGAAGAGAAAAAGGAGGGGAAGAAAGGAGAGAGGAAAGAAATCCAAGAAGAGAGCAGATGATGGGTCAAAGGGATCTTCTCAACATCAAAGGGATCTTCTCAACACAGCCACTTGGTGGTGGTAGAGACCAAGGATTTCAGTTGTGTGGTTACCCTTCACAATACAATGGAAGTGAGGGATCCTTGGTGTTCTCTGAGCTTGATGATTTTCTTGAAGATGTTTCTTGCAGACAGTGCTACCCACGGATGACGTTACCTAGTTTGGGTCATGAAACATCTGCAAGAAAACCACCAAGCTCAGAGAGCACCAAGGACCTCTCACTTCAACCCTGAGCTACAAATATTCTCCTTTATTGGTACAATGGACATTTTAGCCTAAGGTTGCTTCTCCTGACCTGGACCCTCTTAAAAATTAGCAGATAATACAGGTAGTCCTTGACTTGGGGCAAATTCACTTAACTGTCTCACTTAGCAACGGAAATTTGGGGCTCAATTGTGGTCATAAGTTGAGGACTCTCTGTTCTGAAATGGAACAGGGATTCCTGCCTTCCTTCTTGTAGATTTGGCCTGTCCTCCAAAAGACGTTTTGGCTTAGTTTTGCTTTCTCCTTCGAACCCAAGGTAACCCTCCAAATCTTGGTTGTCCCCCTGATGTTCTGAACCACAACTCCTCAAATTTACCCAGCTGGGACAGAGGCCTTCAAGCTGGATATGGCATCTTTTAATCATACACAAGGCTCAGCAAACATGGTTGGTTGGGTCTCAGCTCTTACTTTTGCTAAGTGAATTTTCACACTGGTAAGATGGCTACTGATGGTTGGCCAAACCTCTTGCAGGTGTGAGTTGCCCTCTTCTGCCCTAGAAGACGCTACCTACTTCTCCTCCCCTGCATGGAAAGCCAGCAGGCCAGAGTGGTTACAGCTGTTTGAATTATGTATATCCAGATTCTTATTTGAAAGTATAAATTCCTTGCTGGAATTCTTGTCTTGTTGTTTTGACCTTCTTGCCTCATACATATTTAATCTGAGAAAGGAGTGGCTTCTTCCTTTGGTT